AGAACCACCACATAAATCTGTATAATGTCCATTAGAACCACCACATACCCCTGTATGATGTCCATTAGAACCACCACATACCCCTATATGATGTCCATTAGAACCACCACATACCCTATATGATGTCCATTAAAACCACCACATACCCCTGTATGATGTCCATTAGAACCACCACATACCCCTGTGTGATGTCCATTAGAACCACCACATACCCCTGTATGATGTCCATTAGAACCACCACATACCCCTGTATGATGTCCATTAGAACCACCACATACCCCTATATGATGTCCATTAGATTCACCAGATACCCCTGTATGATGTCCATTAGAACCACCACATACCCCTGTATGATGTCCATTAGAACCACCACATACCCCTGTATGATGTCCATTAGAACCACCACATACCCCTGTATGATGTCCATTAGAACCACCACATACCCCTGTATGATGTCCATTAGAACCACCACATACCCCTGTATGATGACCATTAGAACCTCCACATACCCCTGTATGATGTTGTTTATAATGCTTTTAGTTTGAAGTTACTACAAAATGTTGTCACCATTAGTAGCGAGCTGTCCAACCCACTTAACTCTCTTCCCGTATTTGACAATCGTAGTCATTGTTTTCTTTCTTCTTTCACTCCTTCATCTATGCAATGTGCGTGTCTATAGGACTCACTGTCGTTGGTATGTATTTCTACATCACCTAGATTTAGTGTAAAATACTTGCCTGCTCACTACTCGGCATGTTATCAATTTCAAGTTTAACTCTTTCCCCTAGTGGCAATTTTTTACAAAGAATTGTAATTTCAGAATATGGCTTTCTTAACTGCATGCATCTTTTATATCCCTCTGCATGGTACAGTTATCAAAACATGAGAAAATTACAAAAAACAGGAGATTGTCGTAGCGTTGTGAATATAACAATAATTATTTTCTCTCTCCTGATATTTTATGTCGTATTTAGGGATGTACCAGTTTATATTTGAGGGTGATTAAACATTCCAATTTAGCTGTTTTTCAAAATCTACTGATTCAAATCTTCCGCAATTGTCATTGCCTTGTATGGAAAATCCAATGAGCGATTTAAAGAGGGTTTTGTATAAATAACATAAATCAATTTAACTGTAAAATAAATAAGGAAGTTCTGCAGTTAATTCTCTCAAAGCCACAAACAAACTTGAACTTGGCAACAGCCACAAATTATATTATGAATGACTTGATTGCTTTGTTTGCTGCAACTTGTGTTATTTCTGTGTTTTGTGCTTTATACAACGAAAGACTTACACCCATCACCATGGTAACGTCATTTAAGTTGTCATAATTGTCATGCTCTCCAGTAAGGGGAGTTGTGTATTTGTTAATAAGTGCTATATCAATATTTGAATAATGTCTGAATGGTCATGCATGGTGTTAATTTCTTACAGCTTCTGCCCTTCAACATGAATATTAATGAGTGTAATATTTCCTTCCAACGTTTTCAACATTACATCTCAT